TCTATCTATCTCTATCTCTCTCTCGGAGCATGTTTGATTTTGTCATGTCACGTCATAATGTCCTATTGTCTGTAAACGTTCGAAGGGATAGACAATAGCGGGCACGGCCGACTGCGGGTGAAAAGATCTACATCCCGGGTGCGGGCGGGCAATGATTTTCTTACGGGTGCGGGTGGGTCTGGGTGAACCTTTTTTACAGGTGGCGGGTGGGTTGGGCGTGGGCGGAAAAATTCAAAATGGTAGGGAGAGAAGAGATGAGGAGGAGAGGGGAGAGAGACGGGTTGCAAGATTACCTCCGTCACCCATTGTTATTTGTCCGCTTCTTGCCACGTGGCAGAATTGCCACCTGTCCGTATTTGGGTCTGTTTGCCGGTCCCGACTCCTTCCACGGGATGATTTCTTCGCCTTTAGGTACTTTAGCTGGTCGATGCAGACGTGTCAACCCGTCCGCATTTCTGTGCCTCTGCGTCTTTCGATGGATGATATCGAAGTCGTACTCCTGCAGGCGCACTGCCCAACGCCCAATCATGCCCGTGTAATTAGTGAGCCTCTTCAGAGCCAACAGCGGCTCGTGATCCGTCAACAAAAGAAGCTTTTGTCCGTAGAGATACAAATGGAAGTGCTGGATTCCCCAGACCACCGCATAGCATTCGCCTTGTGGGGCCGAATCGTTCCTCCGCTCGTCTGGCACCGTGCATGATGCGTATTCAAATGAAGTAATCATGACTGTCGTTCCCCTTTTGCGCTAGAATGGCGGAAATTGCCTCCGGTTGCCAGTCCGTAATGAGAATGAACTGCTTCACAGGATCCGGCCGGATCAAAATAGGTGTTGTGGCCAGGGTGTCTTTAAGGGTGGCGAAGGCCTGCTCGCACTCGGCGTCCAGCAGGTTCGTCAGGGGCCTTGCTATCTCGGCAAAGCCCTTGATGAAGCGACGATAGTACGATGCCAGTCCCAAGAAGGCTCGAACCTGCGTCAGTGACGTGGGAACGGGGGCATCTTTCACCGCCGCGACCTTTCTCGAATCTGGCCGCAGTCCTCCACGTATCACCACATAGCCCAAGAACGAGATTTCCGAGAGAAAAAACTCGCTCTTCTCGAGCGCGATCTTAAACCCAGCGTCTCTCAGAGCTCCCAGCGTCCACTCGATATGATGTGTGTGAACGTGATAGGTCTCCGAGCAGACTAGGATGTCATCCATGTACACGATGACGCAGAAGTTGATCATTCCTTGAGTCAACCGCGTCTTGTTGACGAAGTTTTGAAACGTCACATTCGTAGCCTGTTGAAACGTGGCAGGCGCGTTGCAAATCCCCATCGGACACCGGACCCACTGCCACGTACCTTCAAACAATATGAAGGCCGTTTTCGGTCGATCTTCCTCCTTAACCAGAATGTGATGGAAGTCGTGACGAATATCAAATTTACTGAAATAATTAGCACATCCAATCGCATCCAGCAAATCATCAATCCGGGGAAGGGGATACACATCTTTGATCGTGATATCATTCAGCTTCTGATAATCGATGCAAATGCGAATCGACCCATTCTTCTTTGGCACTAATACTACCGAGAATGACCATGGTCCAGTGGCGGGCTCGATCCAACCATTAGCTTCGAATTTTCGAATCCGCTGAAGAGCCATTTTTCGTTCTACCAGGGAGTATCTGTAGGGCTTGCAATGGATCGGGGGATGGTTTCCGGTTTGAATCTCGTGCTGTATGACCAGTGATAGCCCAATGTCTGCGTCCGTCACACTAATCGCACCCTGGTATTCCTTCAGAATGTTCGCGATGAGGTGATGAATTTCATCGGGTACGTAATAGGGCACGTGTAGTTCATACGACTAGTCCCATATTCGTACGTCGATCTGTTTCGTACTTACCCGTTTGGTGGGTTTGGGTGCGGGTGCAGAAATGAAATAATTGTCCGATCGCCAGGAAAATACCGTAGCCATCATTTGCGCATCCTGTTCCCGAATGGCCACGTGTTCTTCCGGGGTTACTCCATAGCGAATGTCCTGCCAGGGTACGGGTTTTGTTGCGATTTTGATCCCGAGTCCGGTTTCGAGGCGCTCAGGGGGTTCCAAGGAATTGGCCTCTGCCCCTAATCGTAGCAATCGTAACTCTTTTACAGGTGGCAAAAGAGATCGCGGGAGGCTCGTGATGTCGCAGAAGTGTCTCTTGTCGTTGTATCGCGCAAGGAGAGGGGAGATACCTTCGTACAGGGTTCGACGGGGTTCCAAAGAATCGACCATCCTCGATATCTGTACGATAGGTTCACCCAGAATCATCGC